AACTAAGGCAGCTGTGGCTCAGGAAGTAGAGCGGGTCGCCACAAAGCAGAAAGTCGGTGGAGGAGGAGCCAGGGATCCACCCCAGCTCCTCCTCCAGGTGGCATGTTGAAGTGTCCTTGGGCAAGATACTGAACCCCATGTTGCCCCTGATGGCTGTTCCATGAGTGTAGAAGTGTGCATATGAGTGTGTGTGTTAATGGGTGAATGTGGTAAGTATTGTGACATACTTTTAGTGCTCAGTAAGGCTAGAAAAACACTATATAAGTTCAAGTCCATTTAAGCAGATCTATACAGTTTATTTATAATTGTAAAAATACAAAGGAATTCTGCACGTACAGGTGACAACTTGATGTGATAAAACTGTGTTTCAGTTTCCTTTTTTTAACTTGTACTGACAGGCGGTGAGTGTTTAATCATAATGAGCACATAGGGTGCTGTGTCATTTCTGACAGATGGAATGGAAGATCACAGCTACACATCAATATGGAGAAGGGTCAGACAGCTGATATCTGTTGGTCTGCCTACTCACTTCTCCCTGTCTCTGTCTCAGTTTTGGTTTCAATCTCTAATTCAGATTTATTGTGTTGGTATTGGTGTGAGTTTCAGTGTAATGGGTTGTATAAGGTTGGTAATGTAATTAATATCTCAGAATGTACGTAAGAAGGAAAACTGGTTTGAACATTACTATATGGCAGCTCTATTATAACAGACAACATACTTTAAAGATGAAAATAAATATAAATAGAATTAAAAATAAATTCAACCATTATTATCATTATTATTATTATTATTATTATTATCTGTTTAAAATAATTTACTAAAGAGTTAATCCAGGAGTCCAGTCCCTCAGTCCAGTATGTGGCAGTACTTACAACTGAGGCACATGCTGTTTGCTGTGGTGGGCTCTCTAAGAGCGGCCCTTCAGCAATCTAAACTGCTCTCTGATATCATTAAAATATTTGGACAGGGTCAAATATCAGGGTCAGAGGTCTCTCAATATTATTCAAAAATATTCTGCCGGGCTACCAAACATCCAACAGCAAGGACGATCTGAGAGAAAGATTTAAACCTTTCGTTTAATGAGTTAGAATAGAATAGGTAATAGTTGTTTTTTAAACAGACAAACGGAATTTTCTTTAAAGATCCAAACCAAGGCTGTGTTCATAGATATAACAGTACTATATACAGTATATTAAGAATAGAGTGGAAAGCAAGCAGAGAGGAGTCCTTTTATAGTCAAATTACTGACTGTCATACTGAATTCTCCTGGGGAAGAGAATGAAGCCAAATACCATGATCGCCATCATGCAGCCAAGAGTCCAGATGTCCACGGCCTCGGAAAATGGGAGATCACATATAATTTCTGGAACCTTGAATGTGGATGAAATGTATGAGATGAAATGAGAAACATTGTCATATTTCAATGATTAAATAAAAACATAACAAATAATTACAAACTAAATAACAGCAGCAGTACAAAGATTTCACAGCTGATGAGAGGTCTCAGTTTCAGGTATGATCAGTGTTTCTTACCTGTAGTGAAGAGTTTGGTGAACTCTGCCCGGCTTGGCTTGACACGCAGCCAAGCTGAAGTCGATTAGTTTCACCCCGAGTGGCTATCTTACATGATCCACCGTCATGATGTGTATTTTCAGAATTTGCTTTAGGGCATTCAGTGCTGCTGACATCTGCAAGTAAGGATTTTGATAATAAAATGTATCCATAGAAAACTTTTGCTTCTTGTGTTATTTACTGGGTTTATTAATCTTGGGCCCCTGTCTAAAAAATTGACCATGTGTCAAATCTAGTTGTAAGATCAGTCAGTATTTGTGCTTACATGGGGCATATTATTAAACAGCTTATTGGACTACTGGCTTAGCACAACCCAACCCCAAAACCCAATCAACAACCTAATCAGGTTCAATCAACTAAACATAAATTGGCAAATATGTTTTACTCTTTCACAAATTACTAAGATAAATGCAAAACTCAATGTGTTTCATTTCATAGTTCACAGTGTTATTGAAAAATAGATGATCTCTCTGACATCTCACAGTATTTAAATTTAGAACAAGGGAAAACAGGTGCTTTTAATCACTGACTAAATAGCTGTCAATAATGTACATTTCTCTCCTCTTTCTTCCTCTGGTTGTAGGTTAGAGGATTTTATGAGTTTAAAATGTTGCTACATCAAAGAAAACAAGCAAGATCCCCTCATCTAACTCTCTGCCCGGACAGGCTAATTTCCCAAAATGTCTTAAAGGCTATTCCTTTAAAACACATGTCATGTGTTACAGATTACAGTGGAATCAAGTTTGGGCTGAAGAAACAGCATTTGGAATAAAAATGAGAGAATCTGAAGAATTTCATGGTAAAGTGCAAGTTATGATTTACAGCAAATTGTTGAGGAATTAAAGGATTAATTAAAAAAAAAAAAAAAAAAAAAAAACATATTGGGGTTTTCTCTGCTCACCTTGCAACTTTCAGGAATCCTGCAGCTAGTTTGCTAATTTGTTCCAGCATCTGATATTGACTTGTTGTTCATTTTGTGGCAGACCACTGTAAATGATTATTAACCTGAATTATTAACCTGAATTACTAAGCTTTGTGTTTTATCTGTAAGCTACATTATTCGATATATTTGTCAGAAAAAAAGCAATAATAAACAGACTTGGTGCGAACCTCCAGCGCCAAATGCCACACAGATAAAATTGCCAATGAACATAGTAGAGCATTCAGCTGCTAAAGAGCCAGTTCCCTCAAGAGTTGATGGAGAACAAAACAGAGAAGTGAACAACTGTTGAGTGGACAAAATGTTGCTTATGTCTGATGGATGTGTACATACGCAGTTTTCTTGCTAACATGTTCAACTGTATAAGGCGATAATATCAGTTTTGTGTTTACAGCTGACCGCAAGTTGCCAAAGGAAGAAAATAAAATCAGTGACTACTCTTTGAAACATGTATTGATAAGCTACTAAACACTGTGTGTAGCCCCAGTTAAGTGATAGCTACAGGTGCTTAACTAGCTAATAATGTAGCATAGGTCAAGCAGTGTTACTGCAACTAGTGTAAACTGAGTTATGAGATTCATGGGGCATAGCCTACCACACTGAGAGAAAAGTTTAGTGTACCTTGACTGATAACTTTGTGTAAGCCCTCAAGAAACTTGGCCACAATGAGAAAGATGGTTATGGTATTTTAAATGAGTCCGAGTGCACAGTCTGAGGGTTTGTGTATGATGCTTGAGAAGGAGGGTGAGGACCACCTGTGCTGTACACACACACACACACACACACACACACACACACACACACACACACACTATAGAGAGAGCAATGTAACAAGAAGCCACCCATAAACTGAAGCACAGTGCCATAGCCTAGTGTTCAGCTATTTCAGAGAACACAGCACATAAACGTCTTGTGGCAGCTGATAAGTTTTGTAGAAATGAAATGAAATAACATCATGCCAGTGTATAGCATCAATAATAGGGACCAAGTATAGTATAGTTTCAGTTTTGTTTTCTAACTTGGTATTTTGGCTCATTATGTGTTGGGAGGATAAATACTGTGGAGGAAGATCCTACCTGAACCAAAAGAATTGAATAATAACATCTGGAAAATTAACTACCCTTTCCAATATATCATGTCTAATATGTGTTTAGCTCAGCCACTCCTCTTGCTGACCACTTTTCCCCCCTTCTCCTTTTTCATTTTGTTCGCCGTGTTCTCCGTTACCTCCACAATTTTGATTCCAGCACACATGTACACACAGAGGCAGAACCTGTCAGGACCTGCCACAGGAAGGAATGCAACAAGAGACTGAGCCTGGACAAAAGCTGCTCATTCAGAGCCCCTTCACACACACACACACACACACACACACACACACACACACACACACACACACACACACACACACACACACACACACACACACACACACACACACACTCACACACATACACACACAGTTTATGGCTGATTGCTAATTGATCTGGCTCTTTTCCAGCCCCTTGAAATGAAAAGCTGACAGTTTCAGTCAATATGGCCATTTCTCTCTCTCTCTCTCTCTGAGAAATCTGGCTATAACAGAATGTGCATGATCGTATGAGTCTGTGTGTGTGTTAAAATGTCAACAGTAACAGTGTTGGCCTATCTGTGTGTGTTTTCAGGTCTGTAACACAAACTGTCTGTCTCAGGGGGACAGTTGACCTGGAGAGAATTTGTTGGATTTCTCAGTTGCTATCTGTAGATGTTTAGTGTCCCACTGAGAGTCTGACTTGATTCAATAATGGCCTGAACAGGCGGAAAACAGTGATAAAAAACACAAAGAAGTGGGAAAATGTGGGAAAAATCTGCTGGTAAACATGGTCAACTAATTGAATGTCAGAGTTATGACTGTTTGAGGTCTCAACTCCTTTCTCTCACTCATATGAATGTGTCCATCCACCTGTGCATCTGTTTGTGTGTATGTTTGAGAGACGGTAAGGATGCCAGCTCATTACCAAGTAAACTATGTCAAGAGTTACGATTGTGTTAAGTGCTGCCTACAACCCAATTACTCTCAAGATCCTCAGCTAAAGACACATGAATCCTTTTTGCTGAGCTGTTCATTAAAACACTTCCCAAATCAAGCTGAACTGTCACTAATAAGCAGTAAATTAGTTCACAACCTTTCATCTGAACTGTCCTCGAAAATAAAATACTGCCTGCTTTTGTTGCTCTGCAGAGGTTGTGTGTGTTTACAGGAGGGTGCATTTCAGTTCTGAAAGTGGAAGAAGGGAACAGTCTAATATTCTACTAATAATATCATATTATATAAATTAATTAAGAACCAGTATCATTAGCAAACAAGTTGTGGATGTCATTTACATTTTCATATAATTGAAGTGAAAGTGAAACTCTTCCCAGCCCACTGCTTCTGTTGATTTGTATTTGCTGTTGATGAGAAATGAATAAATCAGTGAAGACAATAAAAACAGATGCGTTGTGTCACTTTTTGTTAAATACATGATTTATGTGCACCGTTCGAGTTAAAAACTAAGCTTTATCATTCTGAGTGACAGTACAGTAGCTGCCGAAGGCATCAGAGTAATCTACTTATCAAAGCTTCTCTCCACTTGAGGTTATCAGTAAGTGCTGGATTCTTCGTGTGTTACAATGCCTCCACTATCATTTAGTATGAACAAAACAGACGATGTTCCTACTACAGTGCGATAGGATTACAATGTGTAACTCATTGTTCACAGTGCGTGTGTAAATGCTCATTGGAAACGTGTGTTATGATATAAAGGACAGAGCAAAACAAAAAGCTTCTGCTGGTTGAGCCAAAACTAATGTAGCCATCATAGAAGTCACATTGTTGCTCCACCCTCATCCTGTGATCTCTACGATTCGTTTCTTTCACAATTCAAATATTTATTTTCTTCTCAATCATCTGAAGGCACATGGAAAGACCTGGCAGCAGACCATGTCAGACAGTGCAGTATACCGATTTGGTCTGCTGCACAACATCCAAAAATATAATGAGCCGAACTGGCTGCTGCAGGATTAAAGCAGGATTGAAGACTCCTAGGATGGCTACCGGTACCTTGTTAAAATGACAGATAAATAATATTTGATTGATTGATTGTGGCACCATTTGATTGAGTTTCAGTTTCCAATATGAATTATGAAGATTTACTAGAAATACTAATGGCAGATATTTGCTTGCTGGGGCACAGCATAACATGTAGTTTGTCCATTAACCAGATGAACATGATCAGCTCTACAAAGAATACATGGAAAGCATTTCAGATGGTACATGAAACTTACAATGATGACCCTCAAATAAAGGAGAGGAGCGAACAGCATCATCATGTCTGATCAGACCTTTAGAGGACTAGTCCAACAAGCTGGGAAATCCACGTAGGGCTCCTCGCTTTCTTGCCGAGATCAATACCAGGGTTGTGTGCTGGACTATTTCATGGCCATGGGCAGTGACAGTCTTTATGCTAATCTAGGCTAACCAGCTGCAAATCTCCAGAACAGATTCTTTTCCCCACTGCTGTTTCAAAAGTAGAATGAAGAATGAAGATTGAGAGTAATTCAAAACATCGTATGTTCAGTTTAATCTGTTTACAATCTAGCTGTTTATGTGGAAGCAGCTTGTCTGGCTCTGTCCAAATTTAACAAAATCTCCTAACTAGCACAGTATGGACAAAACAAATATAATGTGTTAATCAGTTAGTAGGTGTATTTTGTTACCTTCGGACGGAGCCAGAGTAACTGTTTTGGCCTGTTGCCAGTCTTTAAGATAAGATAAGCTAAGATAACTGGCTTAGTGGCTGTAACTTCATAAAGTCATCTAAGTCTCAGCAAGAAAGCGAAAAAGTACATTTCTCTGTAGGATCAAACTATTGCCTTAAATTTATCTGGTCAAAATGTGTTTACCTATGAATTCTGAATATTACCTTATTATTTACCGATGGCACTATTAAGGATAAATGAATCATATACATCTGTATATCCTTATCGTAAACATCTGCGAATATGTAATACTAGTGTTACTGTGAAATATGTAATTGCAAGTACAGAAACAACAGTAAGTTCCAGCTGGTTCCCCGGTGTTGAGGACAAAATTGTCATAGCAGGCTATTATTCTAATTTTTCAAAACTTGGATGAGTTGAGTTTTTTTCCTGTTTTTAAATGATAAATGGGACAAAGAATTTAAATATGACAAAAGAAAAAACGAATATTTGAGTAAATTATAATTCATGTAACTGAAGCCAATGTTTTTTTTTTTTTATATTTGAAGCCATTATACAGTAGCTGATGTCAGATCACTGTCAAATCAGTCAAACACTGAAATACCACCAGATGGTCACCATACGCAACCCGCTAAAAGAATACTGAGACTATTTGAATTTGAGTCGGCTGTCACATTGTGGGAATCTGTGCCACCGATTGTGGCTCCCAGTTTCAATGATGAATGCTGACACGGCTAACAAGACATCTCAGGGGACGCTAACAAAGACAAATGTATGACAAATGTTTTTCCACAGTGTGCCAAGTGTTTGTGGAAGAAAAATTACAAGCGAAATTCAGACTGTCTTTTCAGAGCTAATGGTGAATAAATTATATAAATGGTAAATGGAAGGCAGTTTGCTATTACATTTTGACTGAATTAAAAGTAAACTCATCTCAACCCCTGCTGCACTTGTCCAGTCCTTCCAATCCTGGACGTGACAGTAATGCCCAATCTACTCCTTTCAGTGTGTCCCTCTGTCTGTATATATATATATATGTATCATCCTTCTGCATCTAGTCCAGTCCATGTTTTCTTCTGTGGTTCTTCAGCCAACACTTCAGTCCATGCAGCCCTTAAAGGGAGGGTTTGTCCCCAAAAAATCTGTCCATTTCACTCACAGCAAAAACCAGCTTGGATTGGTTTCTCCAGTGTTTCTTTGATTTAGAGTTGGAGACCCAAAAAAGGTCCATTTCCAGAAAGAAGCTACATTCACTCAGCTTGGGTCCCCTGCTGAAGGAGTTTTGACGTTGTGTACTGCATGCGGGCTGCAGATAGGTGTAGAAACAAGGTGGATTTCTGTTACTGTTTTTTAAAGGAGGTGAAATGTCCCTTTAGAGAGGCTGTCAGGCCACCAGACCCAGGCGGGAGATCTTAGCGGACAGGAAGGAGTGGAGGATGAAAACAATTGGCTTTGGACATGAGTGGAGGTCCAGTTGCTGCAAAAAGAGAGGAAAACAACAGTATTAAAAAGTAGAACAGGACAGAAAAAACATGACGGGGATACAGAGGAGAGAATAAGATTAAAAGATGTGAGAACTCATTAAAGCATAAGCAGAGGGGATGGCAGAGGGGGGGGGGGGGGAAAGAAAAGAAAGAGGGTTTGTAAAGCACATAAAACCATAAAAATATATTCAAAACTAACTCCACAGTCAACAGTTTCCCATGAGGCAAGGATTAGACAGTCCTATCTGGAGCTAAGCACTATACACACACAAACACCACATCACTGTGAACAAAGCTCTGTTCATAGCCTGAATCAACAGCGGGTGATTTCACCGGTACTATGACTCACATCCTGTTCCTAAGGCCTATAGGGAGATTCAACCCATAAATTCACACTTAAACTACTGTTTAATCGGTCAAATTTAACACTGAGGAAGTTTTACAGGCTACCTCATCTCCAGGAAACATGAGCAGACCTATGCACCATAATTGCTTCACACATATTTAAAAAAAAAATCAGGATTTTCAAGCGTTGAAATAGATGAAATTAGTTTTTGTTTTTTTTTTAGCTACACTGGCAGCTTATGGCTCAGGGGATGGCGATGTTGGTCAGTGATCCAGACTAAAATATCTCATAATTATTGGACGGATTGCATTGAATTTTTGTACCTAATGAATCCCAGCAGCTTTAGTAATCCCCTGACTTTTCCAATGAAGCAGCAGTGAAAAGTCTAACAACAAGGCAAAACTAACTAACATTCCCATTAGTCTCAGCTGTACATTGTGTTTTGCGCTAATTACCAAATGCTAACACTTAATTAAGATGATGAACAAGGTCAATATTTTACAGTACACATTAGCATTGCCATTATGAGTATGTTAGCATTCAGCTCGAAGCACCACTGTGTCTAAGTATAAGTACAGCCTCACATAGACACTAGCATATGATATAACATTGACTCTTAGTCTTACCCTCGTCTTTGCCTTTCTGAAGTGTGTATGTATTTTTTTGTTTTTCAAGCCACAATCAATGGTTTGGCTTGCACCTTAAACTATCAATTGCTGTGACAAAATTAGACACTTCATTCCTGCCAAGTAATGACAGGATAGTCAACATTGTGGAAAAATAAAGCCCAGCTGATTCCACCTTCAAATGCTAAGCTAATGAGCCATCAGCCACATCCACAAGTGTCCTGGGATTTTTATAAAGCCTTGTCATTGACTGTGCTGGGATTCAGAAACTCTACAGACACTAAAATCTGTTCTGCTAAGGTAGCCAACAGAGGGGTTTGAATCAAAGCTCCCAAGTCCTTGCTTATTTGCCTTCAGCATAAACTGAGCAGTCAGACATGAATGTATCTGAGAGAAGTTTTACACAGAGCAGTATGTGGACTGTCAAACAGGCAGATCCAGACGTCGATATATGAAACGCCTCAGTTTCCAATTTCTGAATCCCATAAGCCTAGAGAGTAAATATTTTAGTTTTCACTGCCCCTTTACTTTCCAGCATACAGTAAATCACAGTGCTGTGGTTTTATGATGAATGATGAAACATCAGTGTTGTTTTTCTGGGTAAAAACAGTTTGTATTAGTGCCAGGGGAAGGTAATAAAAGAGCTGCTAGAGCTCATTCTCTTGACACCCACATTATTATTCATATCAGCATTGTCAATAAGATCCAAGAGACTAAGAAATGAAACTTTTAAAAACAGCAATGATGAACATATTGTTTCAGGTATAAACATTAAATTGGTCCTGATTGCTTAGAGGGCGGCCCCTGAAATACGGGCCACCTGGACTTCCGTACACTGAGCTGTTCAGTGGTGTAAAAAGATTAAAACCCTCACAGTAAGTGACAGGCTATTTTTATAGAAAACTCTCGAATGCTCTAACCTTGGAAGACCTGCATTATGTGTGCAGTTCCTTTTATTACAGAGTTATTTTGTGATGAAGTGCTGTAATTTACTTTCCTCTGTACCACTTTCCCCCTGCCTGTCTTCTATACTTGTAGTCCAGTTTGTGTTTTGCTTCATTTCCCGCAAGGCTTTCTCAAACCCCATGAGAGAGCATATGAACTTGTTCTGTTTACTGTGAGCTGTACATGACCACGGCCAAGTAAGCTAAATATATTTCTTTTTATCCATCAGTATAACTTTGAAAGCTCAGTTGTAAATGTATTTCTAAAAGATAAAAGAAAACCATTTTGACTCAGTTTAACTTAAAATGAAAACATAAGGGCTGTCACTGTTTATCTGAAATTTGAACCACTGTTCCTATGGGGGAAAATTTATTCAGTCCTGTGCCACGTTACATTCTGGTACTACTTGGGTACATGCTTTTCACAAATAAGAAATAACAGATACTATGAAAAGGGGCTGTAAGCACATGTACGCTTTCTTCCTCAGTGAGAAATTCTGGATCAGGCCTTGTGCCCCACCCACAGCTGCTGCTTGGTGGACCAGTGAAAGAGCAGTGCGAATGAAGATGCTTAGCATCAGAGGAAACATTGGAGAGACTCTGCCATACATGTATGGAAGTGGCGTTCGTGGTTGTGTTAATGCAAACTCTCGCTCCCTGTACCGACAAGGTTTCAGGTTTCTTTTGCCCCTCGCAACTTGACAGGATTGGTTCCTTAGGTACATGACTTATGAAACCCTGGCTGTCTGAATCAGTTTCGGATTTTGACTGCCAATGGTTCGCTGCAGTTCAAAGGTGGGAATATGCAGCCATAGCGCTGGTTGCTTATTTCTCTCATGAAATGTCTTTTATTATATTAAAAAAACACCACATTGACATGTTATCAAGGTTAAAAACTTGTTTTTCATAGAGGGGGTCTTCAAATTATGTTGTAGCTGAACCAAAAAAAATATAATTTCAAATCATTTGTTTTTAGCTATTTATACACAAACCATTCTCCAGCATAATGTAGCCAAGAATGAATATCACTTGCAGCTGTTTTTAATAGTAAAAGTCACAATATTCCGAGATGGATATTTTCTTGGAGCACAAACATATTTTTCATCCTGTTTGATTTCAGTGTACCGTGAACAACTGAGCACAACAGAGCTCCTGTCAGAACATGTCTTGTTACATTTTGTGTGTCAAAACATAACGCTTTAGAAATAGATGACACTCACTATCTCTCCCTCGTTCCCTCCGAAGTCGAGGAACAGCATGCGGACTCCGTCGTCTGAGGACATCTTTAGTTTTTCGTAGGGGTATGAGAGGAGCACTCTGGGCCTTGAAGGAGTGTGAGCCCCTCTCTCCTCCCCGTTCTCCCCGTCTGCCAGTTTAGGGTCAGCCAGCACAGAGAAGCCTTGTTCGTAGTGAATCACCAGCCGGCACTCCTGACCCCGGTACAGACAACCTGGATGACAGACAGAGGGCGTTGATCATTTTCGATCGTTAATAAATCTTCTTGTTCTAATCCATATCTCCCTGCAGTATTAACACGAGAATGACAGAAATAAGAATTAGAGTGTGATGTGAATCATTGTTGCAGTGCAATTTCAAATGCATTTTGTGGATTTGGAAAACCCTCCTTACTTTTATGGGGATAAACTGTACTTCTTGTATCGTCTAATGGCTTCAGTGCCAAGTGTTGGCTAGAATTGGAGGGGCCGGGCCACTCAGTGTGATTGATTTGTTATGTAAGTAGGTTGGATGTTTGTACAAAGTTATTTCATTTTCTTTTCACTTTCTTTTGAAATATAAAAAAGATGAATGATATTGAAACAGTTTCTTCTTCTGCTCAGCTGGTTTTAGTGACAGACGTGATCATATGACTGGAAAAGATGCAAAATCACATATGAAACAAACAAACTTCTGTCCAACACATTTACTGTGTTCCTCTGTTCTGCATTACACAGGATAGCTCTTTACACACGTAACAAAAAACATCATTAACTTGTTTTATTAGTTTTTAATTACAATTTGCCCAGAAGCATTCATTGCTTAGACAACAAAGCTTTGAATGTCAGTAAATACTTTCTGAAGATTAAGTATTGAATAAATGAATTAATGCTGGGCCTTATATCGCACTATACTAGTGCTTCCAATTAACTCTGTAGACCTGAGTTTATTGTGGTTTGATAACAGAAACACTTACATCATGGACAACAACATTTAATCTTGTGTGTTTTTTTTCAGCTTTCATGAAGTACAATGATTTGATATTGTTATGACGTTCTTGGCTAGGTTTTCCCGCTCTTACTGTTCAGAAGACACTGACTGACAACAAAATGGTACAATATGTTTTAATAGGCGAAGTATTAAAATATACAGTTTAATGCCTGCCTACTGTTTATTGGGTACATAAATATTATAATGTTTAGAGGTTTTTCTCATCGGTATCAATGAGAGTAGAAAGAGACAGCATCAGTTTTGTATCTGTAGTATAATAAACTGTAGGGAAGCATAATACAGTATATTTTTTTTGCTTTCCTTATTAAAACATTTTGTACCATTCTGTCATCAACAGTGTACAACTTCAATGCTGCCGCTGACACCCCGTCGATACATTAGATATCTATCTGTGTCCCATGTCTCTTCACTCAGATAACACATTGCAATTTCAATGACAGCCTCTTCTCTTCACGTGGAGACCATCCCGCTGAAAGCAGAGTGTAATTTATCTGTTCTACCACATTTCTTAGCACTTTTGTTCCCGCTCTCTCCCCTCTCTCTTCACAGCATGTGTCCCGCTGAAAGCTGAGTGTACTATCTTTATCTACTCTCCCAATTTTCGCGTCACTTTCCTCCGCTTTAATGAAGAACCTGTCTCGTCTTCACACAGTTTGATCTAGCTGCATTTAGTTGTATTCTTCAGTGCCTTGACAGCAGAGGTCCCCCCCACCCAAACCCACAGCCCCCAGCGACCCAGCAGACATGAAGGCTGCATGCTGAAAACTTCATTTAGACCATAAGCTCCCCTCTCTTGACAACATCTGATCTACCAGGAAGTGTGTTTGTGTGACAAAAGAGACAGTGAGCGAGAAGAGCACTGTTATCTTTCCATTGTTTGCAGACAGCCTGAGCAGGATGTGTGTGCGTGTGTGTGTGTGTGTGTGTGTGTGTGTGTGTGTATCATGTACGGAGAAGAGAGTGTTGGCAGTGAGAGTGTGTGTAATGCTTCAATGGTGGCTTGCATTGGGAGTGTATTTTTCATTTTGCAGATATGTGAAAGAGAAATGGGGATGCATATATGTGTGCCATCTCTCTCGGGGCTACACAATACCTATGCAGGTGTGTTTACATATATGTATGTGCGTGTGTTGTCGCTGCCTGTGGCCTGCTTCGGTCTCTTTTGTCTGACTATCAACAGGCCTTTTCTCCGTCTGCTTAACCACAGCGTCACTCAGAGCACACTAATCGCCCCATACACACCTTAATCCCTTCCTCGTTCCGCTCTTTATCTAAAGGCGATTATGCAACAAACATACATGTCTGACTATGGTCAAACACAATGTGCAAATAATTCTTGTGAGTCTAATTTATCTTGCACAGAGTAGTAGATGGATCGGTTGTACTGCACAACGTTACCATGTCATAGAAAATGCATGCTACATTGATTCCTATTTGCAGTGATTGTTTAGGGTTTTTTTTGTTTGGCATCTTATTGTGTTCTGCACATTTTAGTGTAACAGATTCCTCATGAACTTTGCGGTTCAGCAGGGAGGGAAATCAATGAAAAGCACTCTCACACTGAAATGACTTATTCACAATTACAAACACTGCAACAAAGGTGACTCTAATTAGTTTGATTATCAATTAGCGGCAGTTGTCAGCTGTGAAAGAGGTAGGGTAATTAGCCCTTGAATGAGGGAGTTTACAAAGCAACATGAGACAAAGTCAGAGCCCAAATTGCAGGTGCACTGGTAAAATGAAACTGCAGATATATTTAGTATGCTAAAGGGGGGGAAGCCTCAAACATTATAAATGGAGCTTTAGCTTGAGTTCAGGCAGAGTATTTAGGTTGTGTTTGCAGTAGCTCTTTCAATCATGCTTCACCATCAGCTGTTTGGCTACACACTTGATTAGTGACATCCAATCATATTCTTCCAGATGTACAACAAATAAACACTTCACTTTTGCCGCCTCTTCTTTCTGCTTATGTGCTACATTTGTAGTATTGTTGATTACAGCAGCAGATCCTTTTCCACCAAATCTAACTATTTGCTGTAAAGCTGTCAAATGTCTCTGACTGACATTTTTTTGCTAAATGCAGGTAAACTGCTTTGAAAGAGGAGAACACATCTTGCAAGTTGGATTGTAATAAGAATATCATGGAGTGAGAAATACTGTTAATCGTCAAACAACCAAAAATAACCAATAATCCATTTTTGTGGCAGTGTTTGCAATGCTGATGTAATGAAGTGTTCATCTTAGTTTGTCCAACCCCTCATTATGTATGTGACATTTTTCTCAGGAGTTGACTTTAACAGAATCACTGTATTGTTTTGTATTGTATTCATAATATATTGTAATACACAGCATTCTCTATTTTTAGATAGCGAAACCACAGAGGCAATGCTGGTTTTAAACCATGTTGATCAGATTAGGTGCTGAGGTGTTGTGTCAGGAGTGGAGCAGCATATTACACTAATCTATCCTGTCCTTATCAAGTGTGAGACGCACTTAAACAACAGGGGTGTGTTGATTACAACTTCAGGAAGTGATGTTGGTGAGAACGAAAGTATCAAACAGAAAAATGAGGCATGCACGTAATCAAATATACAATTTAATATCCACATAACCCTTAAGACATCCCATTCATGATGAAAAATGAGTCTCATAATGTGTAATATTATTCTAATGATGTATAAACAATGTGGCAGGACAAACGTCTCCCTAATGGCATAACAGTTACGGTAAATGGGGCAAAGAGTGTGGGGTCTTTGTTGTGTTCAGGAGTGCAAATTAGACCTGAAACTCTACTCTTCCACCTGAGAGCCTTGATCTGTGGGGAAGCAGGGTTTCCCACCAGAACACACACACACACACACACACACACACACACACACACACACACACACACACACACACACACACACACACACACACACGCACACACACACAAACATATGCACACACACGCATAGAGAAAGGGGCTTTTCAGACTGCAACAAAAGCCCTTCTTTCATCCTGACGGTGAGTGGACAAGACAGAAGGAGGGAAGGAGGGGCAGAGAGTGATAACTGATAGACAGAGAGGAACTGAATGAATGAGGGCAATGGAGAGACAGTGAGAGAGGAGGGAGACACTAATTCTGTTACCATAACGACGAAGTGGAAACGCTAAAAGGTTATTACAGGACAAGAAATCAGTTTTCACAGTCCTTTATTTTAAACCTGTAAATGATATTAGGAGCAGTTTCATAGTTTGAGACGGCATCCCACTATGCTCAACTTTAAGAGTCACAGCAGGTTAATAGGTTAATTTCCCGCAATCACTGAGGTAAAATAGCTTCAAGTCAAGTCATTAAGCTGTTTACCTGTTCATTAAGGAGTCCCAATCGACCTCTCACACAATTTAACAAGTTTAACAGCTGTCACCTTTGACAACAATATTACCAAGAACACTGTGGGAGTACAGAGAGCAGGAGAAGTGGGATTACTGGCTTTAAACAGATGAATCTGAAATTGATAATTAAAATAATATTTTGGATCTGTATTTCAAAGTTCATTCTTGACCCTGGAAACAGTAGATGAGAAAACAAGCTGTTCTGGTGTTTTTAAGCGGACAGTTAGCCTAGCTTATCTTTCCACAACTGGGGGGAAACATCTAGCCTGACTCTGTCCTAAGCAAATAAAACAAACCACAAAAAACAACTTGTTTTGATTTTTGTATGAGTTAAACAAACATGTTGAACTGAGATCTGGATTCTGTTACCAGAACAACACCAGGTTAGCTGTTTCCCCTTGTTTCAAGTGTATATACTAAGCTAAGCTAACCGGCTGCTGGCTGTAGCTTAGTATTTAGCACAGCGACACAGTGGTATCGATCTTTTAATCTAACTCTTGGCAAGAAAGCAAACAAGCTAAGAAAATGTATGACAATGCAGACTTAACTTACTCACAATTACAAAAACCGCTGCAAAGGTGACTCTAATTAACTTGATCACCAATTAGCAGCAGTTGTGAGGAAGTTCACAAAGCCACATGAGAAGGATGAAGATCATGTGAAATGATTGCAAGCTCTAGAATAGTTCCCAAATGGACCCCGTAGTGAAGCTGTTTTTTCAACTTGTGTTTTGAGTGCTTTACAAAATTTCATTATTTACATTACTCTCTTAATCGAACACTGCAAAGGATCCATTCAAATTACTGATTCCTGTTAAGTTTACTAAGTCAGTGAAGTTTGCAATACCTTGTCTTGCTAATTACTCAAAGTATCAACATAACCTCTGAAAAGTTGAATGTACCTTGAGCATATTAATAAGAAAAATGACAGCAGGCCAAGTGCAGCTGAAATTTGATTTCATATCTGGACAAATGACTTTCCCCTTTAACATCCCTCTAAGAATGTCCTGCTGCCCGGTGAGTGATTGAGAGTTCATCTATCTTCAGAGCTAATCTTTACCACAAGCCTGGATAGTGAATAAACCATCGCAATGATTTATCTGGATGTTACACAGATGAAAAGCTGACAAGGTCAACGCAACAACTCCTCAAGTGGCAACTACTGAAAAATGAGTGAATGTATTTTGTATGCATTATCACACTTCTTCTCATGGAAGTGTAAATTACTTTCCTACTTCCATAAAAAGGAAGGACTTGGTGCTAACATCAATCTGTTTCAGAAAAGTTATGGGGTCAATTTAAGACAGAAATTCAATAGTAAGCAATAAACATTCAAAACCATTCTCATTTTTCTCATTCTTTTGGCCTATGTCACTGACCTGTATCATAAATCAGCATTACGGTACAAAATTAAAGCTGCTTTAACAAACATTTTTAGCCATGGTAGTGGCATGGCTCTGTGAATGGCGATGTCAGTCTGGCAGTCTAACACACTGGTCTAAAAAGAAATATCTTAAAAACTACTGGATGAATTAACATAAAATTTTGTACATTCATGGTTCCTACAGGATTAATCCTAATAACTTGTAGATTCTGACTTTGAGCACCAGCACAAGGTTGACTTGTAATTTTCTAGTGAATGTCTCAACAACTATTGGATGGATTTCTATTAAATTTGGTACAGACATCCATGTCTTCATTAGTCTTCATTTGATCTACTCTAGCATATGGTGTGGTAACCCATTGTATGCTACCTGCCCAGAAACAAATGACACACAACTCAAGTTAAGTTAGCACAGCTCTTGGAGTTGGTATGGACAAAAACAGAGCTAAGAGGAGAATATAGGAGAACATTCATCAGGTGGTAGAACCACGACTCCAAATTAATGCCAATGTTTCTTTGTATCTGCTAGGTGTATAAATTAGAAACCCTTAGCTAACATTTGTCATACCAACTTGTTTTCACTGTCCCCAAATGGCCAAAAAATCAATTTGCAGGTTTAAGCTGTATCTGTTGATTCCATCGCTACTTCTAAGCTACAACACGTCCATATGGAGCAGCTTGTTTCAGTCTAGACAGCGTTTTGTCATGGGATTAAATAAGATATCCTTCTAACATTCACATTTCCCAGCAAAGTGCTGTGACATACAATATCTGATTATTATCACACACCTTGGAGTGTTAAATATAAATCGTGCTCTGCAGACGTGAATGAAGCCTTGCTATGCTAATCACAGCGTGACATTTAAACCTGGATCAGTGGGTGCAGACACGACTTAGGAGAGTTTTGAGTTTACTGGCGAAAAACGCTGACTAGAAGGGTGTAGTGTAGCATACGCTGCTGGATACATGCCGTTTCATATATGAGTGGAGTTTGAAGTGAAACTTAATTTGGCATGGTGTTATCATAGATGCAGAGAGGCGGGAGGCCCAGGGGAGAAGTGTAATTCCCAGGACATTTTGTGCTTGGAGAGGGAAGGAGGCAAAGAGGGAGCCAGAGAGAGGGGAGGAATTCCCTGGATGACCAATACCCAATGCTAAACGTGCGCACACACGCACACACGCACACACGCACACACACACACACACACACACACACACACACACACACACACACACACACACACACACACACACACTAGAATAGCATTCCTTTCTATAAATAGCAAGTGCCTTGTTCACATCTTCCATATGGCTGTCAAATTATATCACAAACCCTTTATCTCACTGAACTGTGGTCTGTGTTTGTGCATATATACAAATTTGCTTTATGCGCTGGATTTAGACTTTATTTTAGGCTTGCGAGACCTCAGGCAGTACTTACCCTTGCAGCCTTTTAAATCCCTCTGGATATGTTTTGCTGCAGCGTGTCTGAACACGACTGATGAAGCATCAGTGAATCCAGCCTAGTGACCTGTACAGCTCACTCCACTCTATCCACATCTGTGTCTGTGTGTGTGTGTGTGTGTGTTCCCATCTCTGGGGTCTGATTGTGAATGTTTCTACATGTTTTCAACCATTTTAAAAGGTGCCCGTGTTTCTCTATCTGAATCTGTTCATGTGCTATGCATCGGCACTCACTCGTAGTGACTTCTTTGATCATCTCAGCCGAGGCGTGACATCCGTTGACTATGTGTCTGGTCCACAGGGACAGTTCCTTGGTGGTCTCAGCCCGAAACAGATGAGTCTCGATGCCGAGTCGTGTGCCAGTCCGAGTGGCAAAGAACAGCTCCGTGCCAGAGTGAGGGGACCCCCGGTCAGGACCAGAGTGGACCAGACTGAATACACACACACACACACTCATGTACTTTCATATAGTATATGGAACAAATCAGTTATCACTAATAATAAAAAAGTAGAGCATCTTGCCTCAGGAAAAGAAACTTCTAACTTTCTAACACTTTCTTCTTATGAGATTTTTTTTCTGATTCTCATTGTGCCTTTCGTCATAGTTTCAAGAAAAACTGGTGGTTAAAACTGTTATCAGCTTGCAAAATATTTTGTTTACTGAGCCAAAAAGCTGTGGGAAAGTCAAGTCAGAAGCAACAAGATTAAAAGTCTACCATCATGCTAGTAGCTCTGTGAGGCTGTATTGGTCATTGTAAGAAACAATAATCATTAAAGTTGGATTAAAAAATTACAGTTAAAGTTAAAGTATTTTTAATCCTTGTCAGTGTTAGAAATGTGTTAGAAATGTGTTAAAAATGTTAACAATGTTGCATGCTAACATTTGCTGACAAGCACTAAGCACAAATAAGCTAAAAGTAGGTAAAATGAAAGTGGAATTATAGCACAAGTTTACCCTTTTGTTTGCCGTAGTATTTTAGCAATATCAGTTATTTATATTCATATTTTTAGATATATTTTGTTATTGTGACAACAAAATAGTCTCCATAAAATTCATTTATCTGAAATTATTTCTTTGATTTAAAAAAATATGTTATTGTGCAACTATGGTGTGTGTGTGTTGATGTCTGCACCTATGATGTTGGACCTACCGTGTTGCTAAAAGTGGATAAGTGTGTGCAGGGCTCTGCCAGGCCTCCCTGCCTCGTGGTAGACTGTCGTACAGCAGCAGGTCTTTCTCTGTCACTACCACCAGCACCGGCCTCCAGCTCTGCTTCTCACTCTCTGTCTGCAGCACAAACAGATAAACAATGAGATATGGATAGCCTTCCCCATACAGTATATCCCTTTTCTATACCCACTTAGTTTGTGCAGGGTCATGGGGGACTGTGCTATTCAAATGAAAATAGAAAAGGAAAGAAAACAAAGCTGGCTGCAAATGTTAGTTATCCTCTTCGTGGATTATTGCACTGTTTTGCTAAGTGCACAAATTACCAGAGTCTGAAGTAATAAGTTTAAAAAGTGATTACTGAGTATTAAATGGTAATTTTTATAATTACATCAACTGATCTTAATCACACAAGTTTGCTTAGAATTTGAATCAAGCACAACCTTGATTGATTTGATGCTACAGGATTTGATGTACCCTTGCCCTCTTATATTTATCACAAATACTGAAAGCGTCCTCAGGTTTTAAATGAAAGCTGGTGCTTCATCAGAGATATCAATGGTTGTGTGCCAGTGAGCTGCTTTATGGGATGAATGTTGTGTCTGAGAGAGGAATGGTGTTTAATTTGTACACTTAACAGTGTGTGGTGTAGACCAGATTTCACCTCTCACTTCATCCGTGACTGGGTACATTATTTTTCTCTCTCATACACACCCCGTCACACACCTTTCTGTCTCTGTCAATATTTCACTTCAAATTTCTGCTAAATGTTGTCGAAAGAAGCAATAGATAAAGATAAAGGTGGCTGGTGTGCAGGTGCAGGTACACTGTCAACACATTTGCTTTGCTGTGCCCCCTCGCCCACCCATCATTCCTAATGAGCAAAAACCTCACTTTCCCTTCAGAAACACACACTGTTAATCTCTTAATTTAGAGCACACACACACACACACACACACACACACACACACACACTCCATATTTCATTTTACAATACTCCATAACTATTCTCATTATGAGAGCTTATCTGCAGCCCAGCCATGGAATCCTAAGCTGCTCTTTGAAGTTCTGCCTCAGCCAATCATACCGTGGGATTTAGAGGGTCAAGGGTCAGCTTTTTAACATAATGAGAATATGTTGCTAAGTAACAGTATTGTACTGCATTTGATCCTTCAAATGCAGTACAATATTGGCAAATTCATGAGTACTAAATTAGGCACACACACACACACGTATGCGTGTGCGTGTGCGTGTGTGTGTGCGTGTGTGTGTGCGTCAGGATATGTTTGCACAGGTGTGTGTCTGTATGTGAAAGAGAGAGCGAAGCTTTAGCTGTGTACTTGCTTGTGTGAATTTGAAAAATGTATGTATCTGTATGCACAGCACATATGCACAAAGCAAAAATATGCATGCACACACGTATGCATATACACACACAAACACAAGACACACACAAGCACACACACAGAGGACCCTCATTGCTGTAATGTATTCCTGAGCTTGTAACCTCAACAGTCACAACTACATGCCAAAGTCTGAGCCTTGCCCTAAGTCAGTCGGTCACTCACACATGGTAAAAGACACAAGCCAGACAGGCCACAGCAGACAACATATGACAGACATACTGCCACAACAGTGGTAGCTCTGAAGGTGTCAGTGTGCTTCAGCAGAAGTGCCTGTCAGTTGTTTTAACATCACCTGATACCCTCTTCCCTCACACTTGTCCATTGTTAAAATAAGTGGGGTCAGCGTCTGGCCAGATGTGTGGATGTGAGACAAATTTCAGGTTTGACGGCTCAAACTGTCTTTTTTCATTCTTCACACAACTACATCTGTCATACACCCAAATGAGTGCTACTGATGGTGACGGTCATCTGAAAGTGTGCGATACTATCCCTGCATTTACATCATTAGTAGGTCACCCCCCCCTCTCTATGACAGCTAGTTTTGACTCCGCCTTTAAGTATGGCTATTTGGCTATCTGTCTGTAAATGTTCAGACGGCGCACTGTGCAAACTAGTTCATTTCAAGCAAACCTGACCTTTACAGACCGACAACTCATACTGTATCAGAAGTTGAAAAAATATAAATGCAATTAATCAATGAATAAATAAAAGGCCAATTTTAAGTGATGCACCTAAAAAATAGCTCAATAAATAGTCAATACAAAAGAAACAACACTTCAAGAATTATGTCAAATATATGAGACGTATCTTCAAAAAACATCACGTATCACTCAAGTTTCACATCCTAAAGCCAAGTCTTAACCTTTAAACAGCACTTTGAAGACGGGAGACTCAGCGAATATGTTCTCAATTTACGTACACGTTCACAGATTTAAGGTGTAAAACTCAAACTGAACCTCACAAAGATAGAACAAGAGCACACACACATGCACAAACATACCTACACAAGATATTCACAAAATAAAAAGCGTGAAGGTAACCCATTAAAAACGTGAGAAATCTAGAAGTATTGGTGTTACTCACACACACACACACACACACACACACACACACACACACACACACACACACACACACACACACACACACACACACACACCAACTCCTACCTTCGCTGCCAGCCATCCCAGGTGTCGTATCTCTTTGCTGCCAGCAACCCCCGTCCTGGCTGTGTTCTGGATGACCTCTGCCAGCGCCCGCTGCGGTGGGATGACAGTTTTTAGGATAGATGATCACTCAGGACGCATTACATTCAAAGCAGCTCCGCAGGAGCTGAATCACGGCCATTGAAATATCTAATTCTAATGGTCACACTGATGATGAGAGTCACCTGTAAAATCAATGTAATCAAAGACAGACCTGTGCCAGCGTGGATGTGACAGAGTGCATGGCAGAGAACCAGGACAGGGCAGATGGTTGGTCTGGGCACCGCAGCACCACAGTGTGCCTGGCGTCAGGAGAGTGTAGCTCCAGTTGTCTGGAAGAGAAGATAAGAAAAGTTCAAACAGCTTTAACCTCTCTGTTATCATTGAGGGGCTCTCAAACTTGTTCGCAACCTTAGATGAAAAAAATCCTTCTTGAATATTGAAATTGCATGCCTTATCAAGCAGACCCAATTTGACTCAATTTAGTCTTGAATCATAGTTTTAGCAACCAAATATTCAGCTTCAAGAGATGCTCATTTGTCTCATCTACTTGAGAATGAGCACTTGGATGGAACAACGTAATGAAGTGCAGTGAAATTTGAGTTTATTCGAGTCAATTTAAATCACGAAACAGCCTTTGCTCGTGCATCTTCTGTGGGCCATATGTCACAATACTGTCTCCATCTAAATTTCCATAACTAATCTGCTTATATCATATGGGAGGATTTCTGGCCTCGAGAGAAATGCATCTGTAAGATGCTTCTCCATCTTACTGAACTGCTCTTTGATTGTGTGCTCAGGGAATATGAATTTTAAGAAGGTACATGTGGCAGCCTTTATAGTGCATAATGCCACATGCTGTTGCATCAATACATTTAGTGCTCATGGCTGTGGAGTAAAACCAAAAGCAAAAATACTCTGAACAGGTATGCTAAAGCAAAGCAGAGCTTAATGTCCTTTCTGGACGAAGAAAAAAATAAACCAGATTACAATTAACTCAGAGGTTTAGGGGACAAGACATAGTAAACTAGTGTTCAGTGTGCGCCTGATGCTGAGATCTGGCCATATTTGAAGAATATGAACTTGAGTGGTTGTCATAATTTGTCATAAGAACCTTTAAGGTAAGGCAGAAAATAGAGATGTGAGATTTTAAACCACATATCAGCATGGGGCCGTGGTGTATTGAACGGGCAACAGTACAGTCAGTAAAACTTGCTGCACGAAGCACCCGGGGCAATTTTCTGTGAGTACAGGTTCAGCTTCAACTCATAACATAAATTAAAATGCATTCCTGATTCAGTGAGTTTGCCACCAACTATGAAACAATCTTGCATCTGTGCTAACAGCTCTCCACTGTCGAGGTGATCCTGTTGGGTTTTTTTTGTTTTTTTTGTTTTTTTAAAAAGGAAACCACTCCAAACCCAGAGTGGTTTCAACTCTGCAAACGTGCTTTCTTTGCAGCTTTCTTCATTCACACACACTGTAGACCAGGAAAAGCCCCAGTGAATGTGATGAATCTGCTCTTCCATCAAACCCTTGCAGGCGGGAGAGACCGTCTAGATCAGCTCCAGGTGTTTTACTCTGGGTTAAAAATAGAACTGAAGCCTGTAAAAGGCGAGTTGATTGAGGAGAGGACAGGGGTGAGCTGAAGGGGAGGAAGGGGGGAGAGGAAGGGGGACTCCAAGACCAGATGTGTGTTTAGTAGAGGACGTTCTTTAAGGATGGTGTCATTCTGACCTCCACGAGTTATACTAGACCTTATCTGCCATTTTCTGGCCAAGATGTGGAGTGACTTTGGGGCTAAGTTATCTCATCTCTTGTGTGCGTGACACAGACATTGGGAACATAGGGAATCACTGGGAGAGCAGCACATGAACTGGATGAGTAGTAGGTGGATTTGAATAAATGCAATTATTCATTGGTGAACTAACAGCTCCAGCTTTAAAGCAATAATAGAAGATCCAACCCTGTGGAAATTTAATAAAATAAAACTCAATATAAGCCTACTGGAATTAAGCTATTAAATATGTGTCACAGAGAACAAGAAAACACAGTTAGATTTCACAACAGTTCAATTATTTGTTTTGGCCTCTTCTCCCATCCCATGCTTAAATCCGGAGATGACTCAACCTAGATTAATTGTTGTGACACCAAAGCACAGCCAGGCTCCAACCAGAGCTGTTTTTAAGTCCTTTGTGACAAGTCAAGTTTGAAGCCTTGAGTCAAAGCAAGATTCAAGTGAAGTCTCAAGTCCTTAAATCTTAATAGGAAAATTGTAAGTCAGCTGCAAGTCTGTCAGGTGTCTGAACTCTGACGATAGATGGCATTTAAACACTTTCTCTGAAAGCTGTGTAATAGCATTTTGTAGGTGGCCGAATCCTTTCACAGCAAAGGCCTAATAATTAACTATTCAAGGTATGTGGCTGTCACTGTTATTTATTCTCTGCACTGTTCGGGGATTTTACCAGGTCAAAACATGACACTTACAGGGCCACATAAAACAACAGGTCTACTCTAACTTAGTTTCACAGGTTGACATATCCTGATGTTTTGTCTGGACCGATCCTACACTTCACATAATGACACTCAGTAATGTTTAAATGATTAGTCGATCAACACAAAAGTCATCACTATCTACTCTCACAGTCAACTAATCATTGAGTTTTGAACCCAAACTTGCAGCCCTACAACTTGATTGCTGTTACACCCTCTCTTCCATCTAAACACCCATACAGTATATGTGAAGTCTCCAAGCCCAAGCAGAGATAACGCTGATGAAGTTTCCTCCAGTTCTGCAAAAAAAATTTTGCGACGTGACATGTAAAATTGTTGTAGTGCCCCTTTAAATTCTTCCCTTCCTCGTGTCTAGTCCCATGTCAAGTCAAGTCTTTAGACAGGACTCAGGTCTGCAGCTCCGACTCCAACACAAGGTCTCAAACCATGCCTCCTACACTGAATGGTGTGTAAATATTTATCTTGGAGGATGTTTAGCCAACAGTTGGACTGCCTCGAGCTGTCGAAACAGAAGAAGATAATACATAAGAGGTTGTATCATTTTAGTTTTAAGATCAATGTTCCACACTTAACCCAGGTAAAAAACTTTTACTAAAAGTTTTTTTTTTTTCTTCCATTCAAAAACCTGTCAAGGTTAAACTGCGGTATAATGTTGTAGAAAATGTCATACTGTGAGGAACCATGCTGGTTCTGCCAGAAGTCATCTCTTCTTTTCTCCTTTTTACAAAGCTATACATGTTTTCTGCGGACGTCCGAGTCTCACACATTCACACTGAGGGTTTCAAGTGTGTTGCTTCAGTGATGACACAGATTAATGGTGAATGAAGAAAGAGATAGATTTCATCTATTTTAGGAGCTGAATACCTTTTCTTCTCTCATCTCTGTATCTTCCCCTTTCCCTTATCTTTGCTCATCTAAGCGTTTCCTGTTCTTTTGCAATTTCAATTTTTTTTTCTCCCATCTCTCCACACCTCCTCATAACATTTTTAATCTGCACTGTAAATGATAAGGCTGTAACTAAATCTTTTTTGTAATTTCATCTGTCAACAAATGTCACAGAAAGCTAGACTCATGCGTCCTCATACACAGTTTATGTTAAGGTGAGGAAAACTTCTTCAGCATGTCCACTCTCCTTCCTCACTGCTCTTTCCTTGTCTTCCATCATCTTCTCTCATCGCTGTACGTGTCTCGCTTTCCCTCACATCGTTCTGTCCTCCCAGGCTTACACAGAGTTTAAACATCTGCTGAAATGAACAGAGAAACCCCTCAGAGGGATGCAATATTGCACTGAATTTAGGATATATAAAAAAAAAAAAGATAAGCAGGCTTTCACTGTCACTTAACATAGAGCCTTTTCAGTCCTGAAACCAAAATAAGAAAAAAAACAGGGAGTGGGTTTAGTCTAGCCCTGCAATCTTTAACTAGTATAAATGTGAAAATGTGACTGTTTAAGTTTCATGGACATGGATTAAACATAAGATTTCAACTTGGGTGTCCTACTGTTCAAACATTTACTGAATATTTACTGGTGAGTCAAAGGGGAATTTGTCCTGGCTGCAAGAGTAAGGAAGGAACAAAAAACATGCTGGTCGAGGTAAATTGGACCGAGGACTTCATTTGTGACAGTGAATCTGCCCTACACCTTTATCTGTTATCTGTGTGAGACAAAACCTCTCCTTGTCACGAGATCAGACTCCTTGTGTAACTGGCTGACTAATAAAGTCAAAGTTATGGCAAACGAAGTGAATGTTCAACCCTGTTGTGCTCTTAAATAGTTTAATACATCATCCGAGATTTGTGAATGTGCAGCTCAAAGTTTCACCAAAGAGTCTGTGAGCATTTTGACAGCTATGATCAAATTTGATTTCAGTTTTTTTTTTTAAGGACATACCGTATTTCTGGGAGGAACTGACCAGTGCAACAACAGCTTTATGCTTAGTCAAGTGAAACTCAGGTCATGTCCTCATGAATATCTGTAAAAGCTTTGAATCTATCAAAATCTCTAAATGTCAAACATTTTTCCGTCCAAACTCGCCTGTTCAGATCAATTTTTAAAAGCCGTTTTCCACCAAGAAGCTTTCCATTATTTCTCCAGATTCTCATAAGAAGGAACTGGACAAAACTCTCAACAGCAAAGCACAGACAATCTCTGTCAGTAACTTGCTCTACAAAGACTCTACACATTCCCAGTAAGAAAATGGGACAATTGCATTTACATCTGTTAAGAGAAATGTACTTTTGTGAATCTTTTTTGTTTTTTCAGTGGTAAATAAAATAAGTTTTGCCGTAGAGTAACAAGCCAACAGAGAGCCATCTGCTCTGTCCTTGTAAGATGTTCTTCTTTTTCATTTTGTTTGTGTTTGTTTTCTTGATTGTTTGTGTGTGTTAGCATTTACATTTTACAGTTTCAACATGGAGCCATCTGACAACGTCTATGCACACAGAGGAAACTTTGAAGTCACTATTCACTCTCACCACTTGACTTTGATGTTTTTTCCAGCGTCTGAAGCTTTGAAGTTTCTCGAGGTTCAACTATCTCAAACTTCTAAAATCATACATATACGGGGGGGGGGGGCACATACGGATGGAGGGATGGCAGGATAGTGATACACGAGGAATCGTAGTGAAAGAAATGAATCGAGAGAGAGAGAGAGAAACTGATGGGAGAAGAGGATGGAGATGGAAGAGAATTGATTCAGACATAGACAGAGAACAGTAGGATATATAAACGCAGAGAGAGAGAGAGAGAGAGAGAGAGAGAGCGAGATCGTGAAAGAAAAGAAAGGAAAAGGAGTGGGAGAAGACAAAAGAAGAAGCAAAACACAAACAAGTGATTGAAAAAACAAGACCGAAAAAAGCTAAGACAAAAAAAAAGTATGACGAGTGGGAAGGCAAACAACATGGTAAGAGAGAAACACAGGGAGAGACAACTAGGACAGAAAGCACTGCCTGTGACACCAAAAAAAAAGTTGAAAGAGTAAAGTGCTTTCTTACCCCATTCTGTTTGATTAGGGCCATTGTCATATTACCAACCAATTAACTCGACGACACCTCCTAACAGACCACCCCCCGCTGACTGTGAATTATCTATGCGCTACTTCAAAAGTCTGTCTTTAATAAAAATGTGAAAATGGCCTAAAAAAGTCGGAGAAACACTACTGAGTAATCCCTTGAGGCTATCAGAAGTAGCTGCAGACCCGCAGGGTTGACTTCTCTGTTGTCTCACTGTCACAGTGTTGAGTTAAGGAGCAGAGAAGCATCAGTTAACATTTGGTTAATTAAGGTAACTATTTCTGGGTTCGCCACTATACACTCATGTGACAGACTTCTTTCACTGCAACACAGATCCACTGCATCCTTTCCACAATGGAGGTTTGCTTAAACTTGGACTGAAATTTGAATTTTCACTTTTTTTATGCAAGGAAATATAAAATACAATGATAACGTGTTTCCCTCTGCAGTGGTTGACTGACATTTGAGAAGAAGAAGAGGCACTGTCAACTTCCGTGGTGCACCACTGATAACAGACAATCCCCTCACATGCAGAAACAGACCAAAAAAAAATTCTGTTTTCAGTTCAACTTGTTATTGTCCTCAAATCCCATTAAAAAGACCAAATCCAACAACCATTACCGTTATGGTTACATCACATTCACGTCACGTTCAACATCACAAACCCACTGGAAAACGGGGTTAGTGAACGGCAGAGAGCAGCATGGAGGCCAGGGACTTTGGTACGCCAGTTACTTTTTTTTATAGCTTTTACTTCAGTCTCTTCAAACTCAACGCCGACTGAACGACATTCAAGCGATGCTTGAATGGAGAGGGATGGAATTTGTGGCTGAGTCCACCCATGTTTCCATCACTGTCAGTCGTCGCTGGAGCCAATAAATACTCATGACTAGTGCAGAGTCATTTGACCTGGGAATGAATGCTGATCGTACCCTTTCCCACTGAAGACAAAAGCCAGATGTTAGTGGGTGTTAGAGGGTTTTATTTTGTTCATTGTGAAAGGGGCTTTAGTAGTTTTGCAACATCCCAGCCCCGTCTGTGGCACTCGGCTCCAAGCCAATTTGTTCTAACAAAAGATGTAAATCTTTAAAAACTATTACACATAAATTGGCTGACTGAATTATGTGAGTGGCTAATCAATGAAACAATGATTGGTCTTTCAATGAAAAGCAATAAGCACAAGAGCAGCAGACAGATACAGATAAGACAGCGGCATCTCCAGAGAACTGCTTTCTGAGGACACAATGAGGATGTGTGTGTGTGTGTGTGTGTGCGTGTGTGTGTGTGATTGTCACCTACCTGTTTTCAGGGTCTGGTGTGGTCATGGCTCGGGTTACATAACACATCTTGAGTGGTATGCACCTTCTGTCGCCCTGCAGAGACAGGGAGGGCTGGGTGGAGGGGCTCGGAGGGTCTGAGGTGGAGGAGAAGGTGATGGGAGGACTGCCAATGCGGGGAGATTCAGGAGGAGGAGTTTCCCAGCCGATCTCTGACACTGGGGAGCCCTTTTTGACATATGGCGTGGCCTCGCGCATGTACTTGACTGGGTAGGATAGTAAAAAAGAAAAAGATTTTCAGTATAAAGTAAGACACGGTATAGTTTGAACAGTGACATTAAAGCAGCACCTTTTGAGTTTTAAACGTTCTGGAGACACTTTTGGTCAGGGTGGGGGGTGACACATTCATTGGCAAGATATAAAGGTATAAATCATCCACTTATTTTAGGTATGGAAAATCTTTCCAGTATTTCACAGGATACAGGTTACTGACCACATACTTATTCATTTAGTGTTAATAAAAAGTGTAGGTCACATCCCTGTTTTTAAACTGAAGTACAGTATGCTGTGAACTGTGTTTTAAAAAATGCTTAATGAATAAATGATTTTTTTATGTTTTAAATATTTAAGTTTTGAAGAAAAAAATGAAATGAAATGAATAGAATTTAAATCAAGGCCAATTGCGCAATATCGAATTTTGTCTCTTGCTGACAACATCATATAACACAGAGGTCAGTTAAGATCTGAGTAGAATCCATGTTTGACCTTGTAGCCATGTAAAATCCATACGCATTTGAGCAGCAGTAACCTGTGACGTGCTGTTTTGAGATGGTTGTCATCATAGTTTGTTGTTATAAATGAGAGGAAGGATGTGGGGACACCACAGATGTTCAGATACACAGCAGAAACATTAACTGTTTAATCATGCAACCACAGACACATTTGTATTATTATATTTATATACCTACATGTGGCTGCAGACAGAAAGATAAGTCTCAGCAACAGCTCTGTGTATTAATGATGCTTGAACTCTGCTGCAAAGACCCATGAGGATGTGTGGGTAGTCTATGGAAACTTGCCAGCATGTCATTTCCTTCCTTCGAAACAAAACTTTTGATTATGACTCTGCTCGATAACAGCATCATCCTACTGGTTCAGGGTTACACGACAGGGTGAATGGGTCTTTGAGTTTCATAGCAAAATTAATTTATGTACAACCTCTTACTTTATCATTGAATAGTACGCAAATGAAGTAGCCCTCGCTGCCGTCAACTTGAAACCATCACAGCAAATGTCAAAGTGCCAATAGCCAAAACAGACTCAGATGCCTCTTCGCCTCTCAGTTAATGCGTTAAAATGAAAGTATTCTTTGTGATGATTCAAACCTTGTCTCTGCTGCTACAGGCAAGCAGTATGAAGAAGAGAATTAAGGCACCGCAAAACACAGAATCTGCCTCCACAGCTCTCTGTATATTTCCAGATAGCATGGTCACAACTGATGCCGCCGGGCCACCTGAGAAACTTTCCAAGCAGTAAAACAGAAAGCTTCACTTGTAAAAGTCCAACTCTTAACCACTGGAGGCTTTATAACTATTTTAAATTCCTCATGTTTTAAGGTTCAAGAAGGGGAGAAGAAAAGTGAAGACAGGACATATGTTTCAATGAAAGACAGAAATAGAGAGGCAGAGATAAAGTGGGCGCTTAGCACGCTCTCTATGTCCTGAATGTTCTGAATCCCTGGTATGCCCTGGATGTTTAATTGGCATATCCCACTGTACAAGCCGCGTGTAATTGGCATATGGCTGGTGGCATTTGTAATGCAGCATGTGAACTATTCTTGGGAGAAGCACTATGGACCCCTATGAGACGGTGTAACAAGCCTAACCGCCAACCTGTGGAGGAGAGATGACAGGCTGACACATAACACAGAGGAGGAGACGGGGGTGATGTGAGTGTCCTCAATGGACCCACAGAGACGGTGTGATCCAGTTGCACAGTAGAATAACCCACACAGTCAGATCAAATTAAAGGACTGAAAATGTTGATGCTGATGTTTGTTAAAACGCATCATTACAAAGAACAGCGCAAGTGAATTCATTGGGCTGCAAAGACTGAATCCTCTGCGGTCGGTGGTGACAACCTTGTCTTTTATGAGAGTGACGTGACACAAAGGAACATGTAGGATTCCAATTTTAAAAGAAAAAACTAACAATCCAACTTTGATATAGACTTGTTTGAGTGCAAGGACACACACTAACACACACCTCATCTTCTGTGCTGCAAAGCATAAAGGTGTTTTTTAGCACCTCTCCCACCATCTGTGGTTGGGGTTAGGACTCAGGTTAGGTTATGGTTAGGTGTTGCAGAGATAACTGGCTTGGTTTGGGATGAGACTGGAGTCAGGTTAAGCATCTACTCAGACGACTTGTTGGGGTTATGGATAAGCTTTGGTTCAGATTTGGTAAGGGTAAAACACTTACTGACAGAGAGACAACACAGCACCAGTGACTCCCACATCCTGCAGGTGTGTTATGTTAGACTTAGTTATTTTCACCCTTGCTTTGTCAGCTTTCAGTAGCACGAGCCCTTGAGTTGGCAGTGTACGACAACCTCCTCTCGAGCCTTAGAATCTAAAGCCAACCATGGCCACAAAGCCTTCGCTGTAGCTGACGTGCTCCTCCTTAACAATGTTAACAACCACACGTCAGGGCCACGGCGGCTACGAAGGTACCACATGAGGACCACACAACCTGTGACTGGTCAGCACAGCTGCTTATGTTTTCTACAAGTTTCTGATGCTGGTAGTTTCCTCAGTTATCCCCTTTTCAGTAGTCACATTTAGCAGAGCCATCTCCACTGTAAACCTTGTGCTCACTGCAATCCCTGCTTACTATCACTGTAAATACAGCGACAATGCAATGTAAATACGGCGACTGTATGGAACAGTCCCATATTCAGAAATGAAACGAGATGAATCTTCCCACCATCGCTCCTTATCGCTAAATTAATGAAACCATGTAAACACAGTTTCTGTTGGCCATATAATTAAAGTATGATAAGACCTAATCAGGTATAATACATCCCTTATAGTGTTGCAGGGCTGATATTAACAGGAGAAAACAGACGCTGAACCACAAATCAAAACCGATGACTTATTAACCTTTTGCAACAACCACAAATCTGGTTTAGACTTTACAAAGCCTCACTTAATAATATAAGGAGTGTGACAAAGAGGAAGTGAATGGAAAGAAGCACTGAAACAATATGTCTATTATTCATAATCAAACAGATAATTCACTATTTGTTATTTATCAAGCAAAAATATCCAATATTCTGTAGTTGAAGGATCTAAAATGTGAGGCTCTTCTTTGCCTTTTATTATTGTAAATTGAATATCTTTGGCTTTGGAGTGTTGGTCGTACAAACACCTGCTGTTTGAAGACGTCTCCTTTGAGACTTTGATAGTCTGACAGACATTCACTTTTCTTCCAAGATTTTATGGGCTAAACAATGATGAAAATAATCATTAGTTACAGCCCGAATGACAAAGCGATAAGGGAAAATGACCTCAAACAAGATGAATATCAAATGATACTCCAATTATGTTGTCACAAGCTCACATCTATCTTCTGAAGTCTTATTACATTTACAGAGCACTTACTTAACTGACTAAATTGAAAAAAAATTATTATACAGCTATGACACAAATATAATGCTTAGTGGGTAATTTGTTTTCCGTTAACATTTACAAAGACGGACCGGACGGAGGAAATGTAAACTCATTGACAAGCGTCACTGTGGCCAGAAATAGAGCTGTAAGTGTTTCCAGCAGAGGGGAAAATAAATGGGGTGGAGTCCATGTGATCATTACACTGGAAGTGTGTAAATGTGTGTGCATTCCCTTGGGTCATGTTTTTATTCCATTACAGCACCACCGCAGCCAACTCTGCACAATAACGTCGATAGCCCGATAAGAACTTGGAGAGGAGAGGACTCTTGCTACTTGAGTCTTCATTTGAAACCAGGTTTCAAGCCGGTTTTCCGTTGCATTAGTTAAACCAAAATGCCGAAATGTGGAGCTGCCCTCCACCATCTGTCTGATTTTATTTTTCCATTTTCCAGAGAAAGCAAGAGCAAGCACATACAGACACAACTAAATCTTTTTTTTTTTCTTTTTTAATTGTGACTCCCACTCTCCACTTCATTTAGAGGTTACCATTACAGTAATTGTGATGCAGACATATGAATTTCACTATCACCAAAGACCAGCTGCTCAACTCCCCAATGAAAATCCAATTCACTTCCCTTGAAAGCTGTTCACTTATTTCTAAAGCACACTCAACCCCGGTCCCTTACACATTTTATAAATGAGGCAATTCATTTCTTCACAAGTGTTTGTGTTGACAGTGAAGCCAGCACTCCATGGATTTCAACTACATCTACCGCACACATTCACTATGAATACACACAAACACACACTTGTTCAGTTATATTTCTCAGTGTATGTGTTTGCACAGTACCAACACCCCTTCACACACACACACACACACACACACACACACACACACACACACACACACACACACACACGCTCTATAACATCAGGTGTAATTACTATATCTGTCTTGTGTCTTTTTCACTTAACGGTCTCAACAATATTTAATGAGGTCTGAAGTCATTGGACTTTCTACCATATGCTCCGAATGAGGATTTTCTTTGTTTGGTGAGAAAATGTACCAAAGGAAAAAAGAAACTTCCTCTCAAGCCTGTGGGAGAAGAATAGAAGGTTTAACATTGGGCGAAGTTGGAAAGAGAACAGACAGAGGTAGAGGTAGAAAAGAAGAAAAATGCTCCTCTGATTGCAGAACGAAGGCTTTCCCTCCTGCGCAGGTATCTGGATACTACAGCAGCACAAAAAGGTCTTTACAAATCCAGCCCCAGGCCATCTTTTTGTAAAGTTTGGACCAATATCGCAAAGAATTAAAATATTATCTTAAGTGAACGACAAACAGTAACTGAGATGGAAGATTTGAAATGTGCGTAGGTACAATTACTCAGTGATCTTTGAACTTCATGTCAAACAGTTACTAACTCTCTGCAGGCCCACGACTTTCAACAAGTAGATAAGAAGACGTGTGAAATATGTGCTTTCATAAGATAACAGTTGGATCGGATGAGGATCTTTGCTAAGACGTCACATTTTAGAAAAGCTTGAAGACGTTTTTCTCTCTTTTTAACATTTCGACACGTTAAATTGAAGAGATAG